TGTGTTCATACATGTCTCCTTGAAAAACAACTTTGTTCACTCACCAGTTGTTGGTTTTCAATATTATTTAAAGCGCGAATTATTCACATTCTATAATAGAAGCTTTATCATAAATTTTGTGAAAAGTACTTACAACACTGAATTTACTGATAATACAACTTTTGGCGTAACATATTATTTAATATAACGGGAAGAAGAAAGAGTGCCAATACTATGATAAGTATAGGATCACGATGGGTAGGAAAGAGAGCATGAATATTATGGCGAATATAGGATTACAACGGATGGGATATACTCGTATATCATTATGCGCACTATTTGGCAACGTCACAATGCATCTCGATCTTTAAATTTTATATCATTATGCATATATTTAGCAACGTCGCAATGTATCAAAATTACATGATGTCATCGCGAAATATGTCGTGATAATCCACAAAAATAATTTTGTGATCTAATATTAAACAGACTAAAAATTCATTGTAAATATTTAAAATATGATAAAATATGTGTAAAATATTATCATAAATATTTATTCTTTTTATAAGTTATCACAAATTTTGTATAAAACATTTATATATTATTAAAAAACAATGATAAATATTTATAAATATTTATTTTAAACATCGTGTTCCATTTGGGAAAAAAAGAAGTCACATTATTATATATTGTATAATAATAATTATTATTAATTATTAATTAAGTATTAAATTATTAAAATTATTATATTGCTTATAATATGCATTCTATTGACATCATATTTCATAAATTTCGCGGGATACGTAACATTTAAATTTATGCTACACATACGTTACGTTCAGCAAGCGCAACGATTGCACAACGGTTCAATAAAAAGTTGCTGAACGCACTGTTATCAGTGCCCGATACGCAGCGTGTTTATTGAGCAGATGCCATTTTTTTCCATCATATTTTAAGATCGCTACTTCAGTTTGATATGTCGGTGTATAAGCAACATAACCTAAATAGACACGTTTTTTTCTATCCATAAGACCAGAAGAAATCTACCGAAGAATCTACCGATGTATTTTTAAAACATGGACAAATTTGAAAAAGAATATATTTATAATAATATCATGTATAAAGTCTTTGCAACAAGAGATGTGCAAAGTTTACAGAAGTTTACAGAACGGTATATAGAATTATATATCTTTTGCTTGTAAAATATAAATTTGTAAATTATGCAATGTTTTTTCTATAAATCCAAATTGTTTCTATAAATCCAATTGTTATTTTATTATAATGTTTTATTGTATACAGATCCAAACTTTTTTACGATATATTTTACCGAAAATATGTCCTCACAAAAAGCAATATGCGTTTTAGAAGAAAAAGATAATATTTACAACTGATTATAAAAA